CAAATATAAAATGATAGGTAAAGTAACTCTTTTGTATAGTCAGTATTACCAGAATGAATATTAAATCTCACTATATTTGTGAATGTGAAATTACCATATATGTGGTAAAAGTAACTAAACAATTATTTAAAACAATCATTGACTATATATTTGTGTTTATTCTACCGTACTTTGCAGGTTCCACGAACTATAAAAATATGTTTGACGCCAAAATGAACTATAAAATATATAGTGAGATTATAGTTATAATTCAACTGTATTTTTCTATCAGTGCATAAGAAGTAACGACGCGTCGCTTTAAAGTTACGCACTCGCACGATAGGGAATATTTTGACACGAATCTCGGGAATGTTGCCCGACCGCTCTCTCGAATCTTTTCAGATTATCTTCTTTATCACATGTTTCTATATTTATCCTGTTTGCTTGTCTGTCGCATATTGGACGATTCAGCCGTGACGGTTGAGCTTCCGCACGACCGACGGAAGTCAACGCGTCGCGATCGCGACATCCTTTTCTCGCGATCGACGTACAAACGGTTCGGTACAAACCTGTCTCTCCTTTTCTCCGTTGTCCTCCCTCTCCCTCCTCCCTGTTCATCCAGCCGATCTCACGTACGCGATTTAGCCGAGGACTGACGCAGCTCGCGGCGGCCGCGGATTGATCGGCGGATCGATCGCGGATAATTAAAAGCTGCTGCCACCCCGACGGCCGGCCCGGCGATTTCCGCTTCCTAACGATTAACTCATCAGGAGGCCGATAATGGGTGAAGATAGGTCGCGAACGCCTCCGAGGCCTGTCCTGATTACACCATTACCTACTTGCGCCGTTACTAATCAACGCTACTAGTCGTCGTACGAGCGCGCGCGCGGATGTGCACGTACGTGCGCGTAATCGGTTTATCATAATTAACATCTCCCGCGGAGGCGGGGGCGGAAGCGGGCGTAAAATTTCCGAGCTAACGGCCGTGAAATTCGTTCTAATCCTCGGCAATTTGGGAAATTGTGCGTTCCTAATATCAAGCTTTCGGGCCTGTCAGCGGACCCGCGCGCGCCGTTCAATTAGGCATTGTTGGCCTCCTCCGCCCTGCCGGGTTTTATCTCTCTTAATCTCCAGCTTCTCGTGGCCGACTCGTGGTCTGAGAAGATCCCAGGAAGACACGGGAGGTCCGTTTAATTACCGAGGGCTTTTGCTGAAATTCATCGGCGCGCGGCAGATTGGAAGAGGTATCCACGCGGAGTCCTCGTCGATCGCGCGATATCGCACGATTCCGCTGGAATCGACGAGACTGTCGAATTCACGTTGATCCAAAGTAACGCGCGTTGAATCGCGCTTCGTGACTTACGACGAATGTCGTCGTCGCGATACCCGAGAGAGAGAGAGAGAGAGAGAGAGAGAGAGAGAGAGAGAGAGAGAGAGAGAGAGAGAACGAACTGCTTTCGGGATGTCCCTCCGATCGTCGGTGTCCGTTAGCCGTATTGAATACTGTTGAAGCGTTCGGCTTGAATGCGCCATTAGTATTATCGATTGCATCTGCATCGGCTACCGGAAGTCGGCGATGGGCCGAGAGATTAGCACAATAGATACTTATCCTTGGCCGAATCGCTTTGCAAAGCTCGATTTCACCGAGTCCTATCGCTGGTAGCTGCAGCAGCAGGTCTGCTGAAACGTACCGTGCGGTGCGATTGGACCGTCGCGATAGCGCAATGTTCTTTCCGTTTCCGCCTTTACATTTGAATATTTAAATTTTAATACACATATACACGTGTGTATCGAGTATATATTGATCTATTCTAGGCCGAAGGTTGAAATATTCGTATTTAAAGACCGAAAAAATAAGAACGTCGGAAATCTGGCACGTGTTCCGGGCTTTTACCTCGCTCATGGAAAATGTAAATTTTTACGCGAAACGAATACCGTGACGGACGGATCCCGCTTGAAATCCGAAAAAAGATGGAATGTACATGCGTGCGTGTGTGTGTGTGTGTGAGAAGGGCGGTAATGCAATAGTTGTGTGCGACAGTTTTTCCAGAGTTTCGCCTCAAGTTTCCGCGGTTTGGTGGACATTCATTCGCTCGTAATGGGACACTCGGTAGTCGCAGCTCGTACGCGTCCGCGGTAATGCGAGGTTTAACACGACGCCAAGTGCGCGTCCGTATCCGAAATCCCTGTAGCATGTCTTGTTTGCAGAAAAGCACTACATGCGGGCGTGAGGTTTCGCCGCGCTCGCTAGCCAACTCGCTCGCGCGAGCGGACACGCTTTCTGTTTTTACTTCGCCTTTGGAACGGACTCGGTTACGCCGCTCGGCCGAATAATAATTGCCTCGACTTTCCATTTCCAACGCGAATGCGATGTTCGCCCGTGTGGCCCCCGTCTGGCCCCGACAGGCAGGAAAAAAGAATCATTACCACCCCTTGGTAATGATGAAAACCCTCGACAGTTGTCTCCCCCTCCCCTTGTCCCTCGCTCGCTTTTCGGTTTCTCTTCTTCTTTATCGCTCCATCTATCGTGCGGTAACAGTTGCTTCAGCGGAATATAATTTATGTAACGCCGCTGTGTTAATAAACTTTGGAAGTTTATAGTTTTATATGACGCGCTTATCCAGATGTGTGCCGCGCATATTTGGTATATCGTCTCTCTTTCTCGTATTTTTTTTTTCCTACCCTTCTCTCTTTCTCTCCTCCTCTTTTTCTCTCCTAGGATTTTTCGTTTCGGAGCATGCGATAAATTCCCTTCTATTGCGTCCCTGTTATCTACCTGTCGATCTCGGTCTTTCCCTTTTTCCGCTTCTCGTTCCGCGAGCGCTGCTCCATTCCGCGTTTTCCCTCGTATTTCGGTTAGCAACCAGCAGTCGTACGTTCCCCGAGCGATCACCTATCGATCGCACATGTCGAATCGCTGTTTAGACTTATCAGCGAATCAATTGACCGGTTCTGCGAACGCGGACATGGGCAACGCGCGTGAACGTCACGCTCATAGGGCGCCGATAAATTGGACCTCATAAATTGGATAGCAAATATCGAAGATGTAATAAAGGTCGATAATGCCGACTCGTTGAATACAAATCACATTTCCATCTCCGACCGATGGAGAGGCATTTATACTATCGGCTTCCCCTCGTCCTCCCTCCGTTTTGTTCTCGAGCAAGTTGTCCGCATGAGCACGGACTGAGACTCGGGGGAATTGGACTGAGATATAATCTCGCGAGCTTCAGCAAGCAGAGAGACACGCGTAATTCGCGCGATATTTTAAAATAGGGATTGATTTTCTTTGTTTTTTTTTTTTTACTCGAAAAGTACATCGATCGAGATTTGTCGAAATTGTTGTCGCGAACGCTTTTCGCGGCTCTTTCGTTTTAGTTTTCATTGTTACGATTGTATCTCCGAAATACCCGAGTTTTCCGAGTGACGGAAAACTTTCACGGTCGGGTCGAGTCGCCCACACACATTTGCTGCGTGCTGGGAACTCGAGGGAACTCATAGGAACTTTCAAACGTGGCGCGGCGGAACCGCGTGATCGCGGTATGCAGGTACTATGAGGAACACCTTAGGTGCACCACAGGGTGGGGATGCACCGGAGTCGGTGCACACACACACACAGACACACACGCGCACACACACATGCGCGCGCGCGCGCGCGTACGTCGCGTGCGAGAGAGCAGCACAGCTCTCCGTCAGTCACGGTGAGATAGCAGTGTCGGTGGACCCGCTCTCCCCCCTTCCTCTCCTGTCTTTGTCGATGCACACACACACACACACACACACTCGCATGTACATTCGCGGTGCACCGCCTACGCCTCGCGCATAATACCGCGCGTGTACCGACGTCAAGCGGACACTCATCGCGGATATCGTCTGTCGCGCCGTCTCGCGACGCGTCCAGTGTCGGGATGGCCTTCTCGCGGACCCTGAGAATCAATTCACCGAGTCACTCGAGAAAAAGGAAAGAGTGTAGGCGAACGAGCAGCGAGAAGGCCCCGTTTCTCCGCAACGCAGCTGCGCGGCCGTCCGTATTTTCCTCTCATCTCCGAAGTCTCTATTTCTCGTTCACGTTACGAAAGCGGGAAGGTTCTCGGCTCGTCCGTGGGTCCAAAAAGGGGCCCACGGTCGACGAGCGTGCCAACCTGCCGACCTGACGACCCGGCCAGTCCGACATTGCGGCCGTCGACGTATAGATGCGCCGCACATGTGTGTGTGTGGGTGGGTGGGTGGGGGAATAATAGGCGCGCTCAGGTGTGTGTGTGTGTGTGTGCGTCCGCGTGCTCACGATAGACCGGCTTAGGAAGGCGGAGAGAGAGAGAGAGAGAGAAAGAGGGACGAGGATAGAGGCCGGGTAGGGATGGCGACAGGGAAGCGCGCGGCGGTAGGATAAAGAAACGTTTAAAGCCCGTTTTACACTGCGCTCGTCGGAGCTCAAGATTGCGACGCGGCGGCGGCGGCAAAGCGCCGAGGAAGTGCGCGCTCGATCGAGGGATTCCACGGGAAAAGCGAGGGAGCCGCACGATTGTCTCTCTTCGTGTCCGAAACTCTGCTTATCCCGCGTTACCCGCGTAAAGCCGCTCGTCCGACTAATGGATCTCCGAGTTTTTTTTTTTTTTCCAGTTTGTAATTTTTTTATAATTTTCCCGACCCCTTCCTCCCACACGTGACAAGTTGCGACATCCCCGCCGAAGACGTACGTAATCTAGACACAGTCGCGTCTGGTCTCTCTCGTCTCGAGAGTCGCCAACTCGACCACGCGACACGGCCTTTAGGCAGTCTCGAGCACATAAGCTGGTGTGCGTGTACGGTCGCGCAGGTGGTAGTACCGTGTATATATGTGTGTGTGTGTGTGTGTGTCGTACTGGTACCAGTGGTGGTGGCGGCGGTGGTGGTGGTGGTGGTAAGTGGCCGAGCGCGCGCGGGTGTGCGTGCCGCGGAGCTGAGCGGAGCGGAGCAAGAAAGTAAGTGGGGAGCAACGGCAACAACAGCAGCAGCAGCAGCAGCAACAGCAGCCTCGGCACGCACACTGGCAACGCGCGCGCGATCGGCCCGGCAAAGTGGTGGAAGAGAGGCACGACGAAGCGGCGAGGTGGTACGTTATAGTAGTGCCGAGAGAAGCGGCGCTTGGCCGGAGCCACGGCACAGCTACGCGAGTCTATCGCGAGTCCTCGAGCGAGAAGTGAGCGAGCGAGCGAGCGAGCGATTCCGGTCGTCTCCTTCGTCCTCGTGGACGTGCTTCGTCGTGGTGCGATCCTCCCGCGAGTCCTGCGAGCGAGCGAGTGTGAGCCGAGCATCCAGTGGAATACGCGACGGAAAACGTTCTTCTCGCGGATTGCGCAATCGGTGCTGCTCCTCTCGCATCCGGTTGCCCCTCAGGATGGGTTAAATTCGTGCTTCGCGAGTGCTAAGGGTAATAGCAGTGACGTGACGTGACGTGACGTGACGCGACTGTTCTCGCTTCGAGAGCTTCGAGAACGACGCCGCACGGCGAGGAGGTCCCGGCGACGGCCCTCGCCTGGTGGCTCGCTCGTCCTTCGTCCTCTTCTGCGGAAAACAGGCTCCTTTTGTTACGCGCGAGCAACGTCTTATAACCGTCTCCGTCGTCGGGAACTCGTCGGCATTCTGGAGTCGTCTGCTGACCGCGCGTTCAGGGCGAATGAACTGTGCACGGCGATGATAGTTCTCCGGCGATGCGCGAGTAATGAGGGAGCTACGTGACCGACCGAGCACGACCGGCGGAGATAGAGAAAGAAGAAAGAGAGAGGGAGAGAGAGAGAGAGAGTGAGAGAGAGAGAGAGAGAGAGAGAGAGAGAGAGAAAAATATATACCTAACCTCGACCTCGAAGTGTCGAGCGTTGTGTAGCGTGCGGCAAAACGTCACCGTCGTCGATCTCGTCTTCATCGTCGTCCTCGTCGTCGTCGTCGTCGTCGTCCTCGTCGTCGTCGTCGTCGTCGTTGTGGTCACGTCACGCGTAGACGAGTGTCCGGCAGGCCGAGACGTGTGTCGCGGGGAGAAGTCTGACGATGAGGAGTGTCTAGTATTATTTAGTAAGGCTGCAACACTGGAAACGGAGTACCTTGTAACTTACCAAATAGCGGATTAGCCATTAGCCGGCGTCCGATAACCTTTACGACGATCGCGGCGCGATTATTCTAACGAGTTCAGCCCGAGACGAGGCTTCCCACGGGAAAAAATAACGGGGGAGAGGGGTCTACTCGGCGGATAAGAGACCCCCGACACGAGTCCCGGAACACAGACAGAGAGAGAGAGAGAGAGAGAGAGAGAGAGAGTCCGGACGTGCAACAAGTTGAAGGAAGAGCACGTGGTGAAGGCAGCGCGCGAATCAATTAGAGTGTCCGTCCTTACGTAAGACCTAGTGACGCGCGCAACGGCGATAACTTTTGGCCACCGTCGTCGTCGTGGTAACCGCTGATAAGGAAAGCACAGAGGTCTACTACGAGCAGACAATAAGTCGAATGATTGGTCAGTCGGCGATAGCGATTCGCGGCGTGAGCACATTTCGCTTGGAAGCCGAAGGAAGTCTATCGGAAGAATATCTGCCCTCGGTTGCGCTCGATATCTCCCTCTTTCTCTCCCCCCGCCCCCCGCCCCCCGATACATCAGCGTCGAAAATCGCCTGCCGACGAGCTTGGGAAGTCTTTGAAGTCCACGACGGGACGAGTCGTCCGATCGAGAAGCCGGACTGTTCGATCGCCCGAGCGTCGCGCGACGCGTAGATGCGCGCGACGTGGACGACGTTGCTTCAAAGTGCTGACAGATAAAACGCTCGATCGGCCGTTAAGTGTCGGTCACAGGAAGTCGCTTCTCCTCGGCTTCGTCGAGGAGTGGTGAGGCTTGAAAGGGGCGGCGGGTTCGGAACACACCCGCGGATCCAAGTCGGGCTGTCTGTCACGGTGCGCAAGGCGCAAGCCTTTGAATGACCTTCGTATTCTGCGGCTTCGTCTTCGACTCGTCCGACGAGAAGACGAGACAAATGCCGGTCGCTTCGGAGGACTGGGTGCCCCACCCGGCCAAGATAACCAGTTCCATCACCACCGTCAAGGGTGCCACCATACAGAGCACGACGACGGCCTGGATGTCGCCGTACAGCAGAACGGCACCGCCGGATCGCGGGGGGTCCAACAACAACAATAACAACAATAACAACGGCGTGGTGATATTGGACGGGTGCAGGCCGCCGGCGGCCACCACGGCCAGGAGGTTCTTCAGGTGGTTCAGCAGGCTGGGACAGCCGCCGATGGGCAAGTCAGGTAAAGAGAGAGACGACGTTGGAAGGATCGGCCGGTGTAGCGAGATCGTATCGTAATAATAATAATAATAAAAGTCGTAGGCACATACACACGCGCGCGCGCACACACACACACACGCACACGCACACACGTACACGTACACACCGGATGAGAGCTCTCGAGAGAGCTAGCGAACGGCCGGGACTCCGTGTGTTTATTAGCGCGAATTCAACGCGCTAAACACGACTACTTCGATCCGCAAGTCGAGTAGGTAACGTGACCTTCGCGTGTGCGAGCGAACGAGACTTAGGATCACGCCATCGATCGCCGGCCGTTTTCCACGCACGTTTCGCTACTCTCTCTCCCTCTCTCTCTCTCTCTCTCTCTCTCTCTCTCTCTTCTCTTCGTAATTAGGGAAAAGCATTTCGTTTTTTCCGCGAAAGCTCCCTCATTTCTTTCCAGATCTAATTGGGGCCCGGTCGGATTTCCGAAGTTTCAAGTACGCGACTCTGACGGAGCCTAGAGCCTGCTCGATATCTTTTCTGGTCTTCATTTTCCATCAAAATTTTACTCTCTTCTCTTTTTTTTTCTTTTTTCATATTTTCATTCTGTATTGTATACACACGATAATTGATAGAGAAATAATTTGGTGCGAGAGCGAGACTCTCTGTTTGTTCGATGCTATAAAATATCTTTCTGGTTACCCGCCGGAAAGAAGCGCGAGTACCAACGGTAATGAATCTCGGGACAAATTTGGCGGTTCCAGTCGGAATGTACTCTGGGAAAATCCTGGCAAATGTCCCGTGCGCGTTGCGTTGTCGTTGCAGGAAGTCGAAAGGACACGGTGCCGGGAGCATTTTTCCCGTTCTTCCCCTCGCGTCTCTTCGCTTGATTATATATTATATAGCAAAGAGACGCGCGGCTTGCAATTAGCAGGTCGCGGCGTGCGTTCTCGTCGGCAAGGAAGAGAAAGAGAGAGAGAGAGAGGGAGGGAGGGAGGGAGGGGGACGGTCGAAAGCGGTCGCTAAATGTGTCTTACCGTAATCGGCCGTGGCGTTTGTGGGATCGCGCCGGCAGAGAGGACTCGCGCAACGAACCGGTAGAGCGACTCGCGATTGTTCCGAATCGCGTAGATCGCGTTCTCCTCTCTCTCTCTCTCTCTCTCTCTCTTCCTCCTCCGCGCCCCTCCGCCGCCCCCTCCGTCCATGTGTTACTGTTAGTCATCGCAGGTGCATCGTACGTGCATCGTAGTTGCCGTTAATAAAAAGAACGTGTTCGCGAGGCGAGTACGCGCGCGTAGTAGTAATGGATAATTGAGGAGAAGCGTGTGTGTGTGTGTGTGTGTGTGTGCGCGCGCGCGCCCCCACACACACACACACGCACGTTCGCGCTCTCACACGTCTGCTCGCGCGGACGTACGTGCGCGAGAGCGCGCGCGGTGCAGCTCGCTCGGCGCGCGTTAACGGTTCTTCTGTGCTACACGGATTTCTGGTTTTCATAATATGTATACACGCTCGCGCTCGCGTTGTTGCCTCGTATTCCATATGGCGTCGAACAAAGAACCGACCCGCGGATCTAAAACTGAGTGACAAATGAGCACTTGGATCGAACAGGTTTCACGCGACGCGACGCGACGCGACGCGACTCGGTACGTGGCAGGCGTTTGAACCTTGTTATCCTTCGCTCGTCCAATGGATCAAAAAAGTGCCCGTCTGTTCTGTTTCTTTCTTTTTCTCTTTCTTTTTTCTTTTTTTCTTTTTTTCGTTCTCTTTGCTCGCGTCTCTTCCCTGTGTTCTCGCGTTCTGATAAACGACGCATATTACATTGCGATACCGATAAGTAATCTCCTCTCTGACGAAAACGCGAAAACTTGGCGTTTCCTCGGCTTGCGTGTCCCAGCCGTGTGAGTTCGCGTTTCTCCTCTTCGAGGGATCTTCAATGTCGGCTGGATGAAACATCAATGTCCGGTTTATCATCGCACATTTTTCTTCTCTTTTTTCGGAGATCTCCGCGGACGACTCTCGCGAAATTTGTATCGAATGACTAACGGCGCGTTAACGAGCGCGTTTCGCGTTTCATATAGCTGTCGGAGGATAATAATTGATATCGTATATCTAACGCGCCTCGCGAGCGCGCGCTCGCGCTACTCAGAAGCTTCCGCTGGGCGTGAAAGAAATCGCCTAATTAAATTTTATCGACAAAGCGTAAAATGAGGACTGCCGCCGCCGCTGCCCCGCGGAGGCATTAAAATTCGCGCAAAGCCGCGCTGTTTCCTCGGGCGGAACTGAGCACACGTTATAATACCACGTGCCACATTCGAGCCACCCGGCATTGATTTTAGCGCGCGCTTCGCCGAGCATCTCCGAGAATTAGGGTCGAAGTTATACTTTCAGCCGAATAATCGCCGATATTTAGAAAAACAAGCGGCGCTTCGTCCCTGCAATTTTCATGCCCCGGCGATTTCGGAAAATATACTCTCTCCCTTTTTTCAACTCGAAACGAAATTACGACTCGTCTCAGGGCTCGAGTGGGAGTCGAGTTACGTACGAGAGTGTCGTTTTCATTCGATGTTTCTCGCGATGTTACGCGAATGACCAGATGCGATGTAAAAATCGCGGGACGAAAATATACCCCTCCCCCCCTCCCCTCCCCTCCCCCAACGTGCGAATTTATTGGCAGGCACTCCGCCGCGGATAAAGATAGAATATGTCTATTTTGCGCGCTTTTAGCGTCTGCATCGTCACACACACACACACACACACACACACACACACACAGACGTAGTGTGTAGTTTTTAACAGCGGCGCTCGTCGCTCGCGGCCGGTCTCTTTCGAAATTTCGTCGATTCGATTGTGCAACGCACGAGGAAGGAAATCGGTCGGTGAAAAGCGCCGGATGGCGTAATCTTTTTCGCTAGTGATGCTCGTGCGCCGTACGAAAGGAAAAAGGAAATCTATCGAAAGCACTCGAGTTAAACGAACTCAATTCCCAAGGCTGACTGCAACCGCTTGAATTTTCTCCTCGGCGAAATGTTGATGTTCCACATCGAGCCCCCTGCCTCGTGTCTGCCCGCGCAAGATTTCGTTCGTTCAGGCGAACGTAAAGCTGACCCGGCGCATTATTGGGGTGGGCTGATTTGCTTAACCTTCCAACCGGAGGCAGGAATTACTCGCGCGTTGTGCGGAGCTTAGATCGATCTTACGACAGTCGAGAAAGAACTTCCATATCGTACACACCGCTACGCCTCGGTGTTTCGTCAATCTTTCAGTCCAAACTCTTGCCGGTTGAAACTTCCGCACGGGCGGGAGGGGGAAAAAGAGTTTGGTTGAGTCAACGAGCCGAGCGCGCTTTGGCTGGAAAGAAGCGGACTTTTCTCGGAGGCCGGTCCCGAGGACCAAGGATCCCGTTTCCTCCGCGAGCGCCTTCGGTTCGTCCACTTTGTCGCGTTAATTTAACCCAACTTTTTTAGCCCGCGCAACCCCGAGACAAGTCTCTCTCGGCGAGACTCGGCTCGTTTCTCAGCCGGACCTCTCTCGCCAGAGGGAGAGAGAGAGAGAGAGCGTGGCGATGAAAAATTCAAAGAGACAATTCGAAATCGCCGGCGAGGCGTAACTCGGCCCGGAATAATTCCGAAGTTGCGCGAGTCGCGTCGCGGCCGTGGCGTGGTCGTTGCTGAAACGGTAAAAGTTCGGCCGGTGATTTACTCGTCGGCTCATAACGCCGTGACACCTCCGCCGCGCCGCGGCGCGGGGCGCTTGGAAACCGCGCGCCGTTCCAGACCGATCTTCCGTTCCGGCTTGCATTTCGTGCCTTGCAAGTGGGTCGTGCACGTGACGAAACACAAATCGCGCGCGATTGCGAGCGCGGCCCTCGATAAGTCTCTCGGCCCACACGTGAAGCGCGCGCTACAACACGGTCGGGTGATTTCTCGGCGAGTGTCGCAACGACAATGACGACGACGACGCAGCAGCAGCAGCAGCAGCAGCAGCAGCAGCAGCAGAGCCGGGTCGCTAAACTCTATGTGGCGTTTATCAAAACACGACGGCAATATCTCCGTATACCCGCCGAGAGAGCGACTGACGCAACGTTTCGGCCGTTTCGTCCCCCCGGAGCGCGGCGAATCGCCGCGCGGTCACGGATGATGCCGGCGAGCTGATCGCGCATCGACGCTCTCCTCTGTGTGCCGGTTTCGCGAGCGCGCTCGTAATTAATTCCGCGCGCCGCGTCTCACCCTCGGCCCCCGACCCCTTCGAATCCGCCGCCCGCTCGCCTGTGTGCTTCGCGTGTACACGTTAACGAGCCGTGCGTCGCAATATTCCCGAGATTGGTATTCTCTCGCTACGCGCGGCGTACGGCGCGGCGCGCAGCGGCGCAATAACTGGGCCGGAAAGAGGATGAACCGTAAACTCGATAAATAAACATTAGACCCGGCGGTAAAACTAGGCCGCGCCGCCGGCGACGGCGCGGCATAGGTATTCGCAATAATCGGCGTCGTCGTCGCGGCGTCGAATCGCCGCGCGGCGAGCAGCCGCGAATCCGCCGAGCCTGCCTCTCATGGGCGGATCGGGACGCGCGAAACGGGATTGTGTTCTGCTGGATGGAATTGTAGGATCTTCACGCTAGCCGGACGCCCGCGCGCGCGTCGTCGACGGAGATCGCTATGCGTTAAAAGTAGGCTGCGAGGCCGCGCCGAGCGTGCCGTACGGAACGTCTCGTTGCCTCCGGAGCGGAGAGGTGCACGGGGTGTGGTGGTCCAGCTGGTGCTACCGCCGAGACAAGAAGAAAGATCGAGGTTGTCATCGTCATTTCGACGTATTTCTTTCTTTTATATTTTTTTCTCTTTTTGCTTTTGTTTGTCTTAACCGAGAGGTTTGAGAGAGAGAGAGAGAGAGAGAGAGAGACGCGGACGTTACCGTGTCGTTAACGAGCTGCTGCAAAGATGCCTTCGCCCTGATTGTAATTATTTTTGGCCCTTCTCCCTTCTTTTTGCATTTCGTCGAGTGTCCTCGAAGCTTCGTTTC